CATAACAATTGTTTGATGTTTATCAAAAGTTTACAGTTACGTCTAATTCCTTCACCAAATTTATATACAAGTACTGGTTTCTCCAATTTTATACCCATCTTACGTGTTTTATACTAATAAATAGTTTCGGCTAGGATGATATTATCATAGTCGAGGATTAAATAAGAAACTAAATTGAACTTCAAATTTTGTCGTAATGGTGCCCTTTATAGCTGACTATGCAGTATGGGTATAGCTCATTGTTGAAGGCCGTATGGCGACCTTTTGTTGCTTACATCCACTTCATTTCGTCTCCTTGGCAATCATACCACATCCCTCCTTTTTTATGAATAGGGATTTTTTATATTCTATTCTTATCATAGATATAAGAAAATATGGTATGAGTGCCAATGAGACAACTCTCCATCCAAGTCACAATTTGTAAAAGTAAACCTTTATAGGTCAAAGTACGGCCTTCAACACATACTCATTTGAAGTAATCGTGTTTTCAAACTACTTTTATCCCCTTTTCGGACTATCCCTGTCAGTATTGTCCTGTTGATTATCGACAATTGCATGCTTTTTATAAGACAATCGAATCGGCACCCTTCTGGTCCCTAGCCAAACGATATTGCATGACTCAGAAAAAATAAATAAATGTGTACCTTCTTGGAAGAATTTGACAAGACGCATGTTTGCTTGGACGTTTGAAATCGGGAATTGTATCTTTATTTGAAATTTCATGTAGTTTGCTATTCCCACAGACAGGTTGGCATTTTGAGGGTTGGCTATTTTAAAGGCTACTGTGATGTATTGTATATATATAAAAAAGAAGATGTGGTATGATTGCCAATGAGACAACTCTCCACAAGAGACCAAATGACACGGAAATTAACAACTATAATAGGTCACCGTACGGCCTCCAACAATGAGCAAAGCCCATACCGCACAGTCAGCTATAAAAGACCCCGAAATGACAATGTAAAACAATTCAAACCAGAAAACTAACGGCCTAATTTATGTACAAAAAATGACCGAAAAACAAATATGTAACACATAAACAAACGACAACCACTGAATTACAGGCTCCTGACTTGGGAAATGCACATGCATACAGAATGTGGCGGGGTTAAACATGTTAGCGGGATCCCAACCCTCCCCCTAACCTGGGACAGTGGTGTAACAGTACAACATAAGAACGAACTATAAAAATCAGTTGAAAGAGGCTTAACTCATCAGATGGATAAAAATATAACTTATTTGGCTATCCAAACTTTTAGTTCTGAACGTTTCTGAGATCAATCCAGAAATTGGACATAAAACGCAACAAAATTAAAATTATAATATAAAACGTTTAAAGATATCACTTAATATTTGTTATCGGATATCATTACCGCTGGTAATCGGTATACTTGCATTTTCCTGTACATTTCCGATCCTACAATGCTTAATTATGTTATCAGGTCACAGTAAGAGTCGATTGTTTAATGACGTCATTTATTCTGATTGACCAAGGGTCATATTACCTGACCGACGTAACCCATTCATAGAAATGAACTCGAAATTGGTATCATAACTGTAGTATTTTTTTCCACTCCTCAATATGGGCTTTAAAGAGGTTCTATTCGACACAACTTTCTAACAAATATTCTATCGATTCCTATTTAATGTTGAAATCTGCTCATCGATTACGAAAGAACAAGAGTAGCAAATAAAATAATGATTATTGTACTTTCAATCTTATTTTTAAACGCAATGTATATTATAAGAACATGAGGACATCACCTGCTGTACACCAAGTTTTACCCTCTTGTCCATATAAAAAAAGATAAATATCAAACATCACCTGCTGTACACCAAGTTTTACCCTCTCATCCATATAAAAAAAAGATAAATAACAAACATCACCTGCTGTACACCAAGTTTTACCCTCTCATCCATATAAAACAAGATAAATAACAAACATCACCTGCTGTACACCAAATTTTACCCTCTCATCCATATAAAACAAGATAACTAACAAACATCACCTGCTGTACACCAAGTTTTACCCTCTCATCCATATAAAACAAGATAAATAACAAATAAGGACTAAAGAATTTTCCTTCTTGAAGAACTTTCGCTTTCAAAACAACGATTTGACAATTGAAACATTTCATAATATCGAAAAATAAATAAGAAAGAAAAAAGATAATTAAAGATTCGTAAGCTTTGATGTGGTTACGGTCTGTTTCGGAACACATTGGAGAATTGTTGAAAGGAAATCCTTTTTACACGATTCTTGTGGACTACATTTGTGTACGTAAAACATCATTACTTTCTTAATTAGCGGCACATATTTTTCTATATATTAAAGAGATATCACAACCACAAGTAAATCAATTATAGCTTTTAAAACTCTGTAAACTATATAATAAAAAGTAATCTCCCGCATCATGAATCGTTAGATAAATGATTATACCCTCTTTATTGCTGTCAACCAGTTGTACCCGTCGTTTTTGTAGGCGCCATGATGAGCTGTGACTAAAAGGAGCAGTGGGTTGAAAGGATGAGGTCGTTTATAGGAGAGTTCAAAGCCACCTATGATGATGAAAAAAAAATGTTACAAAAATGATTGCATCAATGCGGAAAAGCAACATGTTAGATATGATATAGGATTATCTGATTATATTCATAAAAAGAGGAAGAAGATAAAGTACAGATGTATGATACCTTCTTTGCTTTAATCTTGAAACGTTACGTTTGTCATAATTCTGTTTGATTTTTCTTTGGCTTTAGTAATCGACCATAGGCTAATTTTGAGAAAAGTGGGGAAAAATACAACTCGTTTGTAAATATCAATGAAAGGACTTTTATTTCCTTACATATCACATGTAGTTGTATTTTTCGCCACCTATTATCAAAATTTGCTTGAACAAATTTCTCAATTTTTCATACCCGTAATTGCTTAGAAATCTCCAGTTCACCTGTTTCAATTGAAATCTAACTCATCCAACTGTTAGCTATGAATACAAATATATTCGTTAATTACAATAACTTCAATAGTATTTTTTAACACGGTGTTGGAAACCGGAGTATTAAAATCAATTATTTTCTATTCCAGGACATAAAGCAATAGCTATATATATAGATTATTTATAATTTGTCCTTTTGAGTAATAAAAGGGGAAAACGTGATTATTAAAGAGGAAGTCAGTTTCCCTTATCAAAAACCAAATATGATCAATACACAGAAATGCTTTTATTTCATAACCTTTAACTTTCGCTTTTACCTTTTTCATAAATGTTCGTCCTCCATTCCAAACTCCCGGATCCGCCACTGGAAAACAGCTTACGAATAATAAGACCAAGTCTGAAAATTAATACAAGCATTCAGTTGGCAAAATTGTTTTCCTTTTCGGATATTCGCATTGCGTTCAGATACATGTAGTCGTTTGAGTTATACTGTGTTTAAAAATGCCGTTGAAGTTTCAATATTTGATCAAATAATTTTATCTGTCAAGATAATTCAGTCTAAATCATTTTCATGGTTATTCGTTCACGCAGTAAGTTGAACATTTAGTTTTCTGTGTTTGATTATTTCACATAAGTCATGGTAGACCATATAAAGCTTAACTATACTGTATGAGTTTTGCTCATTGTTGAAGGCCGTACAACAACCTGAAATAGTTGTTTACATCCTCGTCCTTTGGTCTCGGGTGGATAGTTGTCTCATTTGCGGTCATACCAAGTCCCCTTATTTTTATATTTCCAGTGTCCGTAGTTTACTGGAAAATAAAAGCCATACTAAATCAAACTAAATAAATTCTTTAATTACAATAACTTCAGGTTTTATCCAACATTTTCTATATCAGGAAATGCCTATACCAAGTCAGGAATATGACAGTTGTTTTCCACTGTGACTTTGAGATGAAGAACAGCAATAAAAGCGCAGTTCCTTTGCTTTTTGTGTGTTTTTTGCTGTGCATGTACTGATTTTGTGTCATGGATGGATCATACCCTGTATGCTTTGTTTTTCTATTAAATAGAACATCTGATAATCAGCTATGCACTATTAAAATCTTGTTATTTTAACATGGAAATACTTGACAAAAAAGTGCTTCTACACATCGGTCTGTAATAAGATATTCATCTTTCAATAGTTTTTTAAACGCAGTGTAATCCATTTAGTTGTTTTACGATTAAAATTGGTAAACGTCTTACCAAAATTATGTAATAGACCACATTGAAGCTGTTAGCATTTCAAGCTTTTGATATCTATAATGTTTGATAAGATAATTTGTTTTTTAAAAAGGAATCATTCTATTTCAATTTCGCTCTTATTCAGATGAATATAACAAAATTCTGAAGAAATCGCAGAACAATTACATTTTTTTCACATTTTGGTCAAATCGAGCAACATGAAGAAAATATAACAGGTACAAATAGAGGTGATTGTTGTTTTAAAATAATTTTTCATACATTTCGATAAAACTTAAACTTATAGCATATTAGAAAATTTTATTTAGAAAAAGTCCAAAAATCTATGAGATTGACATTTTTAAAGACGATTTTTAAAAATGTATTCGTTAAATACATAAGGAAGAAAAGTAAATGTATACACTACAAAATAAATATTTATATAATAAAAAGGTTATTTAAAGAAGAAGAAAAAAATAACTTATTGTCAGTTTTAATGATTGAAATACAATAACAGGTAAAACAAAAAACCAAAAACAATAAAAGTGACATTACGAAATTATATAACAACAAAACAAACTCATATAATATTCCCACAGGTAATGATAATATTTCTAATTTCCTATTTCACGTTCTAGTACTTTTCAAATTATTTTCGTATCATTTAATCAAATTAATCATATAGCCACCCCCTTTTTGCTATATCATACCGTGTTTATCATTTAAATCTCTCATAGTTATACGGTATTTATACTACATAAAATGTCGCCTTTAGATGTTTAAGGCGATGATATCAATAGTTTTGTTCTAATTGTGTGTTTTTCTTTGGTCAATTTCTAAATCAATGTGTTTTGAAAGAGCCATGACGGAAGCAAAAGATTCACACCCCTTTTCTTCACCTGATTTGTATGAGAACAAAAGGGTGGGAGGTAGTCTACGTTACTCATCCGTGTGAAAGATTATCATATAGTGACAAAATACCAGTGAACTCACGTACTTAGGGACTGATCCATAATCAAACAGCAATATCAGAATGATAAGCTCCGGAGACTAGGTCGGAATATATAAATAATTTCCGGATTTCAAACTGTATCAATCGGATCAAATTTGGTTACAAACTGTCAATCTTATTCTAGATAACATGAGATAGTGAAATAGTTTTAGCGAGTTTTAACGTTGATACTTAAAACTGTCCTTCGGTAAGGCAGTACAAAAATACTAGTGATTTTTATTCATAAGAAGTAAGTAAATTTATTTATTGTTGATTTATTTTTTTCATTCTTATTTACGCATAATTAACATAAACATTTATTTAACATTTATAATAAAGTTTAAAGCAAAACTATTTTACAGATTTTCAGATTGAGGATGCGAATAAGTGTTCATTCTTCATTGATGAAATTATTGAATTAACTGAAACTTGACGTTATTATAAAAACCTACATTTATTGTTTGTAGATCACCATTGAAGTATAATTAATGATACTTAAAGAAACATGTTCATAAATATTGATAATATATGATGGGAAAATTAAATACAAAAACGTAGACTTGATCTCCCTTTTTTTCGATTAAATTCTTTTTAAAATGTTTCAGCTATTTGTAACGTTATTATGCATTTATAGATAAGTATTTGATGCATATCTTGAAACATATTTACATGCAAAAATTTACACGAGGCTATTAAACTGAAATTATCACAATCTTCAAACGTCGACAGATTTTTTCGCTCTAAACACATTTTATAGCAGTGTGTGTTGCTCGTTAACATCAGAGTGCAAATATCTAATGTAAGACATGATAAACAAGTGCTTAATTATTACACATGCATTTTATTTCGATTTTCATCAGAGTATATTAATTAAATGTAGATTTTCATAACTGTATATTTATTAAGCGTAGTAATTAGCACCTACACAACACTTTCATTACTTTGCGAGTCAAACGCATAGATTTCTTTATTACTATAAAATACGTTCATCCCCGTTTTTGGGAGTTTTAACATGAAAGGGGACTTGCATCTAAATTAATGGTGATCAAAATAGATTTGTTTATGTACATGCACTTTTAAATCAGTGAAGATAATTAAAAAAAAATGAAGGTATTTTCTGAGGAATATTTTGTCTAATGTGATTAGTGAATGTTTTTTTTTCTTTATTGGTCAAATTTCAATCAGACCAAAATATCATTTTTGAATAGTATGAAATCACTTAATAACTAGGATATTGTTTTCGTTATTTTAGCGAACATGTACTATTTTTCAGAAACTTTAACAACATATATAAATGTTACTGTGAATCTAAAAAGTGCATTGAAAACGGACAGATAATGGACAGTTCAATGGAAACAAAAAAAGACGCTGGTTTTATAAATGACAGTGAAATAGACAGTTGTAAAACTTGTAATTACAAAAGAAGAAAGTGTTGTAAAATATGGAACTTCCGGTTTACAAGACACACTGTAAAGACATATTACTCCAATTATTCAACGACGATCAACATAATTCTGTTTATATTTTTATTTTGTTTATCTCATGTGAGGTAAGTACATTTACATATATTTAATAAGCCCTCATTGTTTAATGAATTATACGTGTATAGTGGTTGATGGTGTCCGTCCATTTCTATCAGCTGTGACGACTTAAATGATCTTATCGGCAACTCTTAATACTTTGTCAGTTGTATTGGCTTTGATGAAATTTTCAGGAAAAACTGTTTCTGGTAATAACATTACTGCTTCTTCAACAACAGTGCTACCACTAGAACTAATACCCCCTTCCAAATAAAAAATCCTTCTACAGCTGCACACCTACCACTGGAAATGTTACAACAACAACAACATCAACTACTGAGGGTGTGGGTGGGGGTTCACAGAATAGAAAATAATGGGAAAAAACATAAAATATAGAGAAAAATGGACCAAAGAAATAAAGAATAGAGTATAATGATGTTCTAAAATAAATAATGGGCAAAAAGTATAAAGAATAGAGAAAATGGCCTTAAAATTAAAGAATACAGAAATGGAGGACCCCCCATCAAGAACCCTCACTACTTATGGCTAGTAGTACTACTGTTGCTGATTCAACTACTGCTACACTGCTAAGTCTATTATTTATAATTTAAGCTAAACATGCTGTTTAATCCCGACACATTCTTTATGTGCCTGTCCCAAGTCAGGAGCCTGTAGTTTAGTGGTTGTAGTTGGTTCATGTCAGTCATATTTGTTTTTCGTAAATTGTTTTGTTATAAATTAGGCAATTAGTTTTCTCAATTGAAATGTTTCATATTTTTCATATCGGGGCCTTTTATAGCCGACTATACGGTATGGGTTTTTCTCATTGTTGAAGGCCGTACAGTTGTCTATAATTGCTTACATCCACTTTACTTGAACTTTGGTGGATAGTTGGCAATCATACCTCATCTCCTTATTTTTCTACAGTACTTTTTCACTCAATCATCCCCACCACCAGCAGATGCTACTATCATTTCTAACTAGTTCTACATTTTACCATGCATTACTACTAATACAGTCAAACATGTATATAAAGTTCACCATTGGATCAAGAGAACACTGACCTTTTAAGAGATGTGACCTTTGAACTGAGGTGAAAAGATATAGGCAATACTACAGCGGGAAAAGAAGAGTGTGACCTAACTAGATTGATGAGGTGACCTTTATAGCAGGTTTGACTGTACTGCTTTCATTGTTAGTTTTAACTAAAGGTTCGTACATTTAAATACATGTACACAACCATTTATATAATTGATTTTTTTTTCATGTCGGGGCCTTTTATAGCCGACTATACAGTATGGGGTTTTCTCATTGTTGAAGGCCGTACGGTTGCCTATAATTGCTTACATCCATTTTTTTAAACTTTGGTGTATAGTTGTCTCATTAGCAATCATACCTCATTCCTCATTTTTATACGCTCTTCGGTTTCTATCTATCTATGTGCCGGTTAAATTTTCAGTTTTGTCAGGTTAGTTAGACTTTTGAAGAACTTGTTGACTATTACACGTTTTGTTAATTTCCTTCTTAATACCTTTACTTAAAATTTGATAACTGTGTTTAAATTTTGAAAATTGTCTGCCTATTGAAAGAATAGGTCCATGTACCGATAAACATGTAGATATAAACAAAAACAAATGCTAAGCAAATCATTATGCAATGGACTGAAATGAAATCTGATGATTTCATCATGATCAAGCATATATTATGACGATTTTGAAATTTTGTTTCACTTCAAATTAAATTAACTTTATGTAATTAAAAATTAATCAGTAAAATAAGAATTTAATAAAGTTATGAAATGACGATGATTTGTCGGATGAATAATAGAAAAGGTTATGATATGACATTAATTTTTATAACTTAATTGATTTTACCCACCTGCAAAGGTATATTTACCTATTCGACCCGAAAGTCTTTAAACTCTTTTGTTTTTTATGTACATTTCATGTAAAATGTTTGTAAAAGATTGTATGAGCCAGCATGGTGTGTTCTTGTCCCATTTCATTTAAGAATTTATGTTTCTAATTCTATAACATTTCTTAAAAGAAATTGATAGTATTGCTGAAATGAGTATCGTTTAAAACGATTTTAAAAAGTTTATGTTTCTAATTTAATACTTAAATAATGAAAGGAGTTAATAGACTTTCTTTTTTCAAAGGTATACATCTGAAATGTATTATCATAATATAAGTTATAATTTGCTATCTTTTTAAATTGATACATTCGAGACTTGATGTAAATAAATAATATTTTCTACTTTCAATTGATGATTTAAATTTGTATAATATCTGCCAAATAGTTTTAATAGATTTATATATGTATATTGACAACATGGAATGATTTAAATATGAAAAATGATATTAAAGATATTTTTCAAAAAACGGTTATAAGCTTAAAATCACAAAGCAGGTGGTGTGTTTATTTGGTCTCGTCCTGAACATGCATGAAATATTTGCGACTGGATGTTAATTAGCCAGCAATCAGTATTAAATCAAAAAAGGTAATAAGCTTGTATTCATAAAGCAGGTGGCTTGGAAAGTATGATTTTTTTTACACATATTGGAAAATCCTGTATCGATGGCATTTATACTTGTGTGGGTTGCCTACATTAATGAGTTCACTTTCTCTTCGTTTAGTCTGAAAAATATCAACATTGTTATTAAAACAAATGAAACTGTAATATATTTACACGATCATATTCCATGTACAGTGGACAGAAAAAGTTATCTTGGAGAACAAAAAAATATGTGTGTCACAGATAATGTTAATTGACAGGGGGTGTTTGGCAGTATTGGCTATTTCGTGGTGGTCAGTTTTTTTTTCAAATTTTATGGGTGAAGGAAGCCGGAGTACCCGGAGAGAACCGCCCATCTTCTGTAGTAAGCTGACAATCGTAATCAATTAAGACTCGAGACGATCGCACCTGACACGTGCGGGTTTCGAACCCACAACATCAGTGTCGACAGGCTAGTGATACAGTAATATAACTACTTAGACGACGCCCCAAGATAAAATTTACTTAAGGTGGTACATAACACTACAGGGAGATAACTCTGTAAGAATCAGCTGAACGTTTTAATTAGGTTCTACTGTTAAGGAAATATTAAGATTCTCAATGATCAAAATTAGTGTTTGTCAAACTGATATATATCCAATGAAATTTTTCCGATAAAGTATGTTGTTCAAGTTTTTTGAAATTTTTACATTTTTTTCAAAAGGTCAAAGTAAATATTTTGTCAAAATTTTATGAAAATTAAACGTGCCAAATTAGTTTTAGTGAAGGTGTTTGGTACCACCTTAGCATAAAAAAAATTAAAAAAATATTCGTACAAATCCGACGTTATATCTTGGTTAACTCACACACCAAAGAGAGATAAAACGTTCCTACTCCATAATTCGCACCCGTCATGCACTGCACTTAGATGAGTACAAATTGTTTTCAGTATTTTAAAACAAGCATAAGTGATTTTAAATGGAAACAGCAGAATAAAAGTGAAGAGAGATTAGCATTAAGGAATGTTGTAGAATTAACTTCTATCTGAAAATTCTGTCTTTAAATATTCACCTTATCTTAATATGTCTGCATTTTTAATTTGAAAATATGCACATCTAGAATGATAAAGTGATTTTCTTCATAGAAGATACAACAAGGAACGCAAAGATTAACATTAGTGTCAAGTTTCCCGACCTTCAGAAAGAATACAAAGTTTCATCAAAGTACAAAGATAGAAGACGACTGCGAAATTCGTTATGCTTTTAGTAATTAAGTAATATTTAACAACTGAAACAGTTTTTGCAGTCTAGTGGAAATTCTGTCTGTAAGAGGAACCAGTAGTATCATAAGAGTAAGGCCATGTTTGTTTATCATTTGTTTTTGCTTAAAGTCAAATTTTCGAAACATACGAGCCATCAAGGAAGTTAAACCCATTGGTGGCCTTCGTCTGGTGTCGGCTCTTTGGTCGGGTTGTTGTCTCTTTGACATATTCCCCATTTCCATTCTCAATTTTATTAAACACGTACATTATACATGTTAACAAAACATGCCCCGTACATGATGGTGCGTTTTTTCTAACTAGCTTGATTAGCGAGCTTCTAATCAGTAAAGAATGTTGTATATGATTCAGTGGCGTAGGGGTAGGATAAAAAGAAAGTGGGATGTGGGGGGGGGGGGGGGGGACTTCTTAAAATGAAAAAAGGCATCTATAGTCTAATAGTTTAGAAAACATAGGTTGTCTACCTTGCCCATGGCTCCTACGCCTCTTTGATTTAGGACATTCATATGCTTAAAGTTTAAATTCTGTTGAAAATCCTTTTTTCTTGATTTTCAAAAGATTTTCTAAGATATTTTGCATTTGTTTTAAAATCCTACCAGCATGTGCACGTGAAACAAAGAAAAACACGAATTTGGCCTAAATTTCATTTTAAAATGCAAAGGACTTCAAAGTTAGGAGGCGACTAATATTGTCTATGAGATGAACATCGATACAATTATTCGGTTCACGACTCTCTAATGGTGCGTGTGCTTTTGGAGGAAACTATCCTTATTTTGTTGTCTCATTGAACAAATATAATTCACTCTATTGTTTAAAGTAAAATTAAATTATCCAGAGTGTGTGTGTGGTAAAATAAGTACATAACGACATCTATTTACCAGGTCAATGTAAAAAGTGCATTACATGTCTCAAGTGTCTAGGTGACGTCTTAATTTAATTTTATTACAAACTAGCAAATCAAGTTACAAAAACAGAAGTTTTGAAATATTACAAAACGACAATTTCACTTTAAAAGAAGATTTATTAGTTCTTACCCAAAACGGATGTTTTTGTTAATGCGTAAATCTGATCTTTCTTGGAAGAAGTTGAAACCTTTTTTTTGGTAATAGTTACTCATTTAAATGAATTTAAGACGATTAATGATCAAAATACATGTAAACGGTTATTGTAATTGCCTTTAAACAAGTAAATACCCGGTACCCAAAGTGTTATTTTCAATTTCTAGTATAGTAGGTCGAAGTCGCTTCTTGTGGACTTCGTTCATTATTTTGTACATAAATCAGGCCGTTAGTTTTTTCGTTTGGATTGTTTTACATTTGTCATCTCGGGGCCTTTTATAGCTGACTATGCGGTATGGGCTTTGATCATTGTTGAAGGCCTTACGGTGACCTATAGTTGTTAAATTCTGGGTCATTTGGTCTCTTGTGGAGAGTTGTCTCATTGGCAATCATACCACATCTTCTTATTTTTATATTGCTAGTCAACGAGGGTTATCATCAGCTCAGTAGTTAGTGCTCCCGTACTTACGTGATATACATTCCCATTGATAGATTAGTACAAAAAAAAAAACATCCAAGGCAAAGAGTTGACTTTAGGTGGATTTTCCTATTCTTTTAAGGTGCCTTTTCTTCGCAAAGCTCTTAAAGTATGCATACACCCTTATCTTTCAACTTTCATTTTTTGGGGGTTTGTCATTTCCTGATGGACTTTTATCCAGAAAAGCGCGCCGGACGCACCATTTTATAAAGTGTTAATTTGTTTTCGAGTACACTAAACTAGGCACATTTTACATCGCGTTTGAAAATACCATAGAAAAATATAGACCGGCGTTTGCAGTTGTACTTTTTGCCACTCGCTATAAAAGTAAAATTGATCGATACGTTATGCCAAGGTTCAATCTACATGGAGCATCTATTTAACAGACAACAAAATGCCATTCAATCTTGCGCTAAGAACGCCACTGATAAGTCTTATGTAAACGAAACACGCGTATGGTGTACCAAAATATAACCCTGATATCTTTGATGTGTTTTTAGATTATTTTCCTTTTACTAGTATGTTGATCTATAATCGAAAAATGTACTACAAAAGTTTTTTTTTAACGATCTGTATTCCTTTGCATTAAACCTGTGTACAGTTAAGGCATGGTGGAAGTCATGAAAAGCTTGACAAAGTTGTGCTGTAAAGTCTCCTAGCTTTACTCAAAAGGAGACGAACAGCTATAGCTCTATTTTATCATATCCACTATACCCTCATTTCCACGACCTTCAGCCTGGATAGCCTCTATTGTGGATCTACTTCTTATCATATGTATTGTTAATTTGTTCTCGTCCTGAACATGCATACAATATTTTCCACTGGACGTTAAGCACCCAACAATCAATCAATTTTTTCTTATTTGATGATGAGGACACCACCATATCTATCCTCCTTTTTGTATGTACCAACGTCTGATATATAAGTAGTGCTTGAGTCATGGTGATTTTTATTGTTGCATGTGATAATATTTTTGGAATGTTTTTTACTTTTAGTTTTTCCCGTTAACTGTCTTTGAGAGCACCTCCGATAATAATCTAAGTTATTGCATTTAATTAAATGGAAGTGTCTTATGTTTTTACACAAGGGTTTCTTAAATTGAGCATTAATAGATAATTGGAAGTACCTCATTGTTTTAATATATTACATCATTTCTTATAATACATTTTTGTTATATTATTAATTGGATTCTATCTTAGTTTTGTTACCTTCCACACAAATTGAAATTCTCGCATGCACTTGCAAGCTTATTTACGCTTAAAAGCATGAAATTACAAGTTTACTCAAAGTCTTGTCATTTCTTTCTCAGTTTTAAATTTTAAGCATGTTTTACAATTTTACACTAAATCTCACGGGAAGCACGGTATATTAAACAATCAGATATAGAAGTCACATGATACAGTCTCGCACATAATAGGAAAACAATTTATGTTTTACGGGTTGTGACCAGGGTCTAAGGCGACAGAACCTTTATTACCCTGCATTACACGGTCCAGATAATTAAATACAATTTTAAAACTTTTTGTGATTTTGTCAATCAGCTTTATTTAATTTAATCAAAATACGAAAATAATGATAGAAATTCTATAGCTGTTTACGAAATGGATACCATTAAAGAGTTTCTTGGGTGATCTAAATGTGAGAAGGACGAAATGATAAAAAATAATAACATTAAATCTATAAAATCCCTTAAGGTGTTTGTAGACTTGAAAAAGCACAGTCAGTGCTTGTAATTTGTTTTCATTATTTCTGTTATCATGTAGGTGAAACCACAAACAAATAAACTGTAATAACATAATGTGTATACACTCATATAACAATTACATGTACATGTACAAAGAGATTGAATTTCATTAAATGGTCACAACTCCGTATGATAATGTTTTTATTCGAAACGCGTGTTTGTAAACAGAAAATGTCAATGCATTTCTAAAAGTAAGCTGTCAAAAAAGGAGTGGTATATGAATTAATAGGTCAGGACGTCTTTTAATATCCCAAATTACACTACAAGGTGTTCAGAAATCAAACAACGTAATTTAAGTTTGTACATGCTTTAAAAATCAGACTGCAGAATGGGTGTTGCTCCGATTGTTGAAGTGACCTATACTTGCTACCTTTTATGTCATGTGGTCTCTGGTGGAGAGTTGTCTCATTTGCAATCATACCACATCTTCTTATTGTTTATATATATTGAAGGCAACAATTCTGGTCTGTTTAACCTGTCGTAATATGAACGTCTGCTAACACGTGGTTGCCGCGCCTATCCTTAATCCTAAAAGGTACCACATGATCTGGCTCAGAGTAACAGGCTGTTTAACTAATCAAACAGTACCCCTGAATTATAGTTGTATTAAAAGAAAGAGGAAGGATGTACATCAAAGAGACAGCAACCAAGCGAAAAAAAAACCTAGGACATCTAGGAATACCTACGTCTACCATTATTTTTAAATAAATAGAATTAGACATGCTTAAAGTTTTTTCTTCTTGTATCAGAATGGTTATCAGATTCATATATTTTCGTCCTGATATTCATGTAATATTTGCCACTGGAAGGACAACATCAATCTATCTATCATGTTTCCTTTCTATATATACACGTATGTAGTTGCTATATTTCTGTATTTCATTTTTTTGCAGGGGTATGAGCAATGACATATTACGTTTAAATTTACCGCCAAAAGAACCGGTGATAGACCCAAATACTGTCTGTAAAAATTATCCGGACTTATCACCTGAACAATATAATTTATGCTCTAAATACCCGGATGTAACAGCATCTGCGATTCAGGGAATTCAAGTAGCAATACACGAGTGCCAGTTTCAATTGCGTTATCACCGTTGGAATTGTTCAAGTTTAGAAAAGAAGAATAAAAATCCTCATGCTAGTCCATTTCTTGGAAGAGGTGAGTACTTGTTTTAGAATAGCAGTGGCATATTTCATTTCTTAGTAGAGTTGATTCATGTTTAACATGTCAATTGCTATGTGGTATCAATTGCTGTAGAACATATCTGATGAAATGTTATAATAAAAAGTATACAAAAAGTAACTCACTGACGATTGGTTTCACTTTAAATTTTCTAGCGAGGGACTATCCACGGGCTTCGACTTTATCTCATGTTTTCTATAGCTTTTCCCCCATATTTATGACAGGCCAATATCAATTTCCGAATACACTGACGCTTAGAATTTGCCAGAGAAGAGTTGATACGGGGTTTCGATCCATCTACTTTAAGTAAGTTTTTTTTTGAAAGTTTCGACAGGTCAATGCGTTCTTTCGTTTGATTGATTGGTTAATGGATTACCGTTTTATTTACGTACAGTAGCAAATATTTCAAGTATATTGAGAGGGTATAGGTGCTATTACGTTTATAACAAAGTATATTTTCATTGGACAAACGCAAAAATATGAAAGTAATATAGTTCACACGTTAATTGTGAATCAACTGAATTTTGTTTTAAGTTACACGATGGCGTGTTATTGTTCTTCGCTAGAAGCTTATTCATAGAAAAAAATGCAATTGTATAATTTATTCAATTCGTTTTACTCTTTTTTTTGTTGTTGTTACGGTAAATGACTTATTTCTAACTTTTCCGATGTCCTCAAACTTTGTTCTATTGAAATATTTTTCGTAGTTGCCTGTAATTAAGGAAAAGTTATTTTGACGTGTTTTGGATATTATACCCGTAGTTTAATTTTATTAAATTCAAATGCTTATGTTTTTTTTTCTCTTTGAGGGAATATTTTCCAATAATTCTAATGGTTATATGTAATCGTCCTTTACAAAACATAATTTGGCAAGTTTGGGGTTTGATGAAAGATTCTTATAGAATATTCTTATCGAATCTGAAAATACAATATAAGGTAATCATTTGGATACAGCAGACTAATTTACGATATGAAATATGAAATCGTACATTTTAAATGCCAGCTTTTAATTTTCGCATACAAGTATGAAAACATTTTCATAGCCAGTTTTAAATAATTCAAATGAATGTGTTAATTTCAACAAGTTTTATAAATCAACTTGCATGTACTTGTTATGTTTTAAGATTTAGATATGTCGATACACCACGTTTTAAAATTCGATTGAAACATATATATTATTACGCATCAGTGATCGTGACTGTGACTTTCGTCACTCGTTCCCTTAGTCCGATCAGTGAGTTTGTATTGTCCGAGTTGATAAAATACAGGGACGGATTCAAAATTTTTGAAAGGGGGCGTTAATCCAGAAAAGGGAATAAATACTGCCGACCGGAGCGATGCAAAAATGTTTTGGACGAATCCATGCTCATAAAGGGGGCGTACACCCTCTACGTCCACACCTGAATCCGCTAATAAGATATGTCAGTCGTTTAAAGGGATCAAAGAATGATTTTTATTTTTGCTTTTCGTATTAACTACTGGCCAAGATTTGTGATGGTCTTTTAAGCACGCTTAATGATGTTTCTGATATAGACAAAGGACAAAAATTATCAGCATTAAATTATAAAATCAAAACAATAATAAAAGAGCAATTGTGATGTCTGTCCAATTGACAATAGAAACCAGGTCGCTGTGATTGTCACTATTTCTCTATTTGTACATATAATGTTTTATCAAAAGGCCTTTTTTAAATTTTCATATTGACAAAGTCATATGGAACATTTACCTTTTATTATAGTTTTAATGACCGGAGTTCTGGATTTCCTGTGCAATACCAGAATTTGTCTTCACATTAACTTATAAACTTGCACATGTTGTTAAGGGTTATAAAGGGGCCTATTTTATAGCTTGCTATGCGGTACGGGTTTTGCTCATTGTTGAACGCCGTACGGTGACCTGCAGTTGTTAACATCTACGTCATTTGGTCTCTGGCGAGGTTGTCTCATTTGCAATCATGACATATCTCCTTTACTTATACTAAGTGTGAAAACGAACAACCGGAAATGTAAATCTGAGAAATCAAATCATCATTTAGTTCTTACGGCGATAACTTGTACTTTTAACAGCTTATTCATTTTAGAAATATGAATATGATTTAAATAAATAAATGAATAAATAACTACATAATAAGTAAATAATAAGTACAAGATTAAAGATGAACAGACAGATAAATAGAATACAAAATCAATTACGAAAGTACATACGCATTTAAAACTGTAAAAAAAAGTGAGAAGACAGTAAAAGGGTATCAAAAACCATCCACAGGAGAAAGACAGACGACATTAAGTATGTCCAGAATGAGAGAAAAGAAAAAAGAGCTAAAACAGAAAAAAAAACCAAACAAATTGTTTAGAGCCAGTTACATGTACATTGTAATGACTAAGACCTTAAAAATTCTTTCTGGGAGTCTGAATAAAAACATTCGTCGATTATATAGTCATGATGTGTTCCTTTTCTTTTTTCGGGTATTAAGTGAAGCAAACATGTCAAATTGGTTTTTATTTTAAAATGAATTTAAATAATTGTAACTCGTAAAAACCAAGTAAAATGTTCATAAACATATTTCTTCTTTTAATATTTTCAAATAACTTAACGCTTTATCGATAATTGAAATGTATATTTAACGAATTCCCCGCATGTTATAGTCATAAAATTCCGGATTTTCTGGATTTCATAAAATTATTTAATTAGCTGCGGAATTCTTTAATCTTGATTTTAAAGAAAAAAGACAAGGTGTTCAGACATAAAAAGCTAGTTTCACGTACATGCATTTAATAAAATATTTAATTGCATATGATGAACCATGAAATCAAACCTACCAATACTAATAAGGAGATATGGTATGTTTACCAATGAGATAAATATCTACCAGAGTACATATTTCAGCAACCATAGGTCATAATACGGCCTTCAGCAATGAACAAAACCCATGCCGTATGGACAGTTATAAAAGTTCCCGACATGAAAAATGTGAAAATTAAAACCAAAAAAAAAAAAAAAAACCCAAAACAACGACTTGATTTATGACAAAACAGTAAAAGTGACGGACAGCAACGAACAACAAGCACTAAAATACAGGATCCCTAATAACGGACAGCAACGAACGACAACCACTAAAATACAGGATCCTAATAACGGACAGCAACGAACGACAACCACTAAAATACAGGATCCTAATAACGGACAGCAACGAACGACAACCACTAAACTACAGGATCCTAATAACGGACAGCAACGAACGACAACCACTAAAATACAGGATCCTAATAACGGACAGCAACGAACGACAACCACTAAAATACAGGATCCTAATAACGGACAGCAACGAACGACAACCACTAAAATACAGGATCCTAATAACGGACAGCAACGAACGACAACCACTAAAATACAGGTTCCTAATAACGGACAGACACGATATTAGAAACTCACTACAACATACACCAGAAATAATTGATTTTGGAAAATCGTCCATCTGTCCATCACCGAATCTGCATCTTAATTTTTCCAATTTTCAAACTGGATTTATTTAAAAATCCGTCTGTTAATCATTAATCAAATAAAAATTAAAAAAATAACTTCTTCAAGAAAGATCAGATTAGCGGAATGTTTCTGTTCCATCTACGGTTGAATCAAATTGGAAAGTCCTGTAATATTTTGATCTTTGATCAACTTTAGATAAATGAACTGGACAATGAACTCTGAAAGTAAGATTGCCTATTTGAATTCTTTCCACATCACCAAATTGATTTTTTAACAGCGATAGAGCGTTTACGGATTTTCTAATTGAAGGATTGATTTCTTTTTGTTTAGTGTTCAAAATAATTCTAAATTTGTCTCTCTAATACACGAAACTTCAAAAACTAAGATATCGGTTTTGTGTCGTTGGGTTGCTATCTGACAGACGTATGCACACATCTCCTTTAAATAATACAAATAAACTTGAGTAAGAATATGTGAGAACGCGTATATATTTTCAAAACACATTGCAAATATATTGGTTGGTTTTTTTTTCGTCTAATTTACATCTACCCCTCTAATCTTATATCTTAAAAATTTGATGTATATATATATATATATATATACGTGTATGAGATTTTGATAATCATTGCAAATAGCTTGTTCAAGGTAAAAATGTAGTATAAAGAGTCATGTTAGTTTAAAATCTAAAATTGTATGTATGTTTCAAATATATTTATACAAAGTTGCTCATTTAGAGAAATTGGATGAGTACTTTTACAGATGGAGAAAGCGACCTTAGATAAAATATTCTCAGGAATTATAATTGGGGTTTCGAATTTGCATTTTTCTTCCATTTAATTAAATACGAAAGAAAACCAGGGAACATTAACTTCACTAGTTGAAATGGACACCCGATGTCTTTTTCGCTTACAGTGGTTTTCGATCAAGATTTGGGGTACGTTGAGGGTTATCTGGCTAGTTATAAGCTAAATGTTAATCATTATTACAACCTGACCCTAGCAGAGCAATATAATTAGGGACGCAAAAGGCCAAGTTTACTTTAGTTACGTCACAAGTTTAATAAATGAGTGAGAAACGGTTCGAATGACCTCTTCCGAACCTCTTCATACCACTTGTTAAGTGATTAGCTTGTTAATAAGGTTGAAGTTTAACAAAACCATTTGGGTATCAACTTAGCATGAAAGATAGTTAAATATATGTTTACCTTCAACTAAATTCTGATACCTGTCGTGAATCCTTTGATCTATTGTCGATACAGGTAACAAAACTTAAAATCAATTAAATCAAGAACCGCAACTATGTAAGATAGATTTTGAATGAAAAAGTACGAATGATTAAATGAACATTTAGCTTTAAACATCTATTTTTGTTATTTACTTTCTTCTCGCTATTCAATTACTTTTCTATTGCTTGTTTTATTTAATTTACACCATGACATACGTGTAAAGTTTTTTTAATTACGGGTAAATGTTTAAACTAATCATTCACACGTGGGTTATATATACAAATTGTTGAAATTGAGAAGTTAGTATTTGTTACAAAGAAACTAATGATTCATTTGAGAAAATAAGGATACAATTAGAAATAAATTAACTGAGAATAACCGCCCACTTTAGATATACCTATGGGTACTTGAGTAAACTTTGATTCATGACAAAGGTTTTTTAGGGAAAAACAGAAAACCGCATTGCGGTTTGCGTATTTTTTGCGTAGTTGATTTTAATATCTTTAATAGGTTATACGTTTGATTGTGGACTTTTCGTTTAAAGAAATTATAATGTTTTTAATTTCAAACCAACATTTTACCTAGGGTGTAATTGATAACGTGTATGCTGGTTATTCTCGACAAACAAAGTGTAACAGTTATATAACGGTATAGAATGGAAAATAAAAGTACATAGTTTCTCAACGTGAAATAACTTTTATCAATAACGTTGTAGATATTGATCCTCGCGAAAATATAATCGAATTATCTTAAGAGAGACTCAAAAATGTAATACAATGGTAAACAAATGTTTTTTATTTAAGGAATGACTGTAATATTTTTTCAGTCTAGCGGGTTATTTTAAAGTGTGCACCACATTTTTTATGTTATTTCGAATAGACAGAAAAAATATTACAGTCATTTTGTATAATTTAATTCTTAATTCCATTTTAAACCGGAGTAAATCATGAAAAAACGTTGATGACGTCAAGGTCACATGACAAAATAATGTCTATGTGCTGATAAACAAAACAACGTCAGCCAATCGGAAGACGCGTTACATCCAAAATTAATTTATTAGCATACGTATGTACTTACTTGCAATAAGTGTTTTGTAAATGTTGAAATTTGATCGCCATGTCTTCAAACGGATCTACATACATAGCCGGCGAAATGGAAAAGGCAGGGAGGAGTGGTGTGCTGGACAAGAAAAGCAATTCCCCTTTTCAAAGGTCGGAAAAAATTATATGCCTCACACTTTGCAGAAAAAAAACCATTTAAGATTGGAGAAAATAACTTAAATTACTATAAAAATAAAATAAAGTATCATCCAAAACCAGTTCGTATAGTTGGAATGACGAGACTGCTTTGAAAATCATCCTTTTTTAATGTCCAAATGTTTTTCGAGAATAGCGAGAAGAAAGTAAATAACAAAAATAGATGTTTAAAGCTAAATGTTCATTTAATCATTCGTACTTTTTCATTCAAAATCTATTCATATTCAATTTGTTTTTTTTTTCCCATTTACTTCGTTGTTTTACATCACTCAAGAAATCTTGTTTACATGTACACTAAACTTAAAAAACATTTATTATTTTGTCATGTCTATCTTTAGACGAATATACAGAATCTTTTCTTAGATTGGTTTCGTCAATGGAAAATTTATTTACACTTTTACAAATGTAAATTTACAATTCTGATTCATTTCTTAACTGAATGAAAAGCGAATAAACAATAAAGAATCAATTGATGATATATTTGGTCTCCACATGTCTTCCCATATCAATGAACTGAATTCATTTGGAGACAATTTACGAGCCATTCAGTGATTACGATCATCGTTTCTGCGGCACTACAGATTGGATTACTTCCGTTTGTGGTCGTCATTTTCGCATCATCGTTATCATTATTGGCTCATATTCTAATAAAGCTTTGATCTACGGCGCAGAAAGTTACAAAATTATCTAGGGTTTGTTTGACGAAAATTTAGAGTTATCATTTAGACAGATCGTGGAATTTAAACTTGACATAGGTAACCAAAGATGACCCTTTATTCAAATAATATTTTATCCTTCATTAGAAACGAACTTTGGGAATAGATGCACCTAATAAGATAATGAGATTTGTCATTTGGATTAAGCAGCGACAATAATAAATTTTAAACTCAATGTATAGTATTTTATAACTAATGTGGCCCTTTAACATGTTAATTGAATTTGAACTATCTGTTTACAAAAGTAACTTGTAAGGTAAAAAGTTATAAGACACCGAATAAATACACCAAATCTTATATTTTCTAAATAAATTTTAGATTTAATCTATCGTATTTTATAAATAATGCGGCCCTTTAACACGTTAATTGAATTTGAACTATTTTTTAACAAAAAACTCATAAGCTTAAAGTTATAAAAGACCGAATTAATGCACCAATATAATACAATTTTAACTAAATCTATATATATATATATATATATATATATATATATATATATATATATATAAGTTAATAAAATCGAGTCACATCTCTCTGATTATGACAATAAGACATAGTTAAAAGGAAACAATAAAAGTAAGTGAAACAGCTAAAAACGTTTACATTTAGGGATCAATTCTGTCGTTTTGCGTCGTCAGCTTCTCCCGTTGTAATGTGTTCAGCAACACCTTCCAAACGGATTGAAAAAAAATCTACCAAACTTGCACTGTTACTAGAGGACAGGAAGTTGTGCAGTTGCTATTTTTATTTTTACTCTGATGAGTTTTTGGGGTTTCTCAAACGAAAAAATATAGACTTCGCCATTTTTGTTGGAGACAGCAGACGACACGTGTCTTACACATTTTTTCGTTGATATCAATAAATCGATTTTATCATTATTCGCTACAAATAGCAAAATAATCAGATGCATTTACTATTTGGAAGACTGCTACAAAGGAACTTATGATCTTGTTGAGTGAACCAAAAGATATGGAAGTGTTTGCCCTACACTTTTGTTAGTTCTTTTTTAAAGCGTGTCTCCATAGATATTCAAGCGTTTGTCAACATTACTAGGATGCATGAAATAAAAAAAATACGCAATTCATCTTGGAAAGCAATATAATGCATGAGAAAATCGGAACCGGGTTTTGGTTCCGATGATTAACAGAAATTCTTTAATCATGGCGAAGATTCCTTAATGGTTTTCGTATACCATTTACTGATATCTGAATAGCTGTTGTAGTCTCTACATATTATATACAGAATCCATACTCTCTCTCTCAAGAATTGAAATCAAGAAATGTTGCAATTTTCATTTTCCCTATTGTGTCAACAACAAAACTGGACAAAAAAATTACTCGCAATGTAATCAGATTCAAGATGCGAATGTTTTACGTGTATAATAAATGATACCAAAACCTATATATTATTTTTTGGTTGGCTATTTAAAAGTGTAGACCCGGGTACAAGGAGAAAACAATTTAATCAGTAATGCGTTTTTATAGTCAATTTCAACAATGCATTTTAAGCTTTCTTGAAATATTCTTGGGTACTCAGAAGCTTAGAATATATATATATGAAAACGGTTGTTATATATATAATTAAGAGTTATACCATTATTGTTTTTCCCCTATTAGTCTTTGTTAAATTGGCACTTTTCCAAAAAAATGTGCAGAATTTATCTTTGTTTCAAATAAAGAAATACTTGGCATAAGAAAAGTTTCATCCTGTCTAGCACTACAGACAAAATGTCACATAACATTTCATTGCATATAAGATAATAACCATTACTGGAAGTTAACCCATCAAATTTTAACCTTTTTTCCTGTTTACAGGCTTTAGTAACAATGTAACCTCAAGTTTCCAAACTATTTTATAGAAACACCAAATAAAAAAGAATGGTGCTTTGAAACACCCAAGATATATGTTTAAGACCCAGAATTTTTTTACTGCAATGAAATGTAGGATTGATTTCCTATAACTGTCAAAGTCAAGGGAATATTTTTTTCGACCCCTTTTCGTATGAAACCGGATGTGACGTACTATAATTTGGTGGTATTACACCTTAAAAGTTATGTCACTTGACCTAAGTCAACCTCCTTGAACTCATCCCTTTCCATTTTGCCTAAAATTTATTCATGTTTTTGAAGGATATAGAGAGACAGCTTTTGCCTATGCAGTATCAGCAGCAGGCGTTGTCCACCAAGTGGCAGTGGCCTGTAGTTTGGGTAAATTAAAATCATGTGGCTGTGACGTCAGTCAGCAGGGTAAAATGAAGAATAAATGGGAGTGGGGAGGATGCAGTCATAATATAAACTTTGGAGAAGACTTTTCTAGAAAGTTTTTGGATTCTAAAGAAAGAAAAGCGAAAGATATTCACGCCAAAATTAATATCCATAACAACAGAGCTGGAAGACTGGTAAGTAAATAAGAAGTATAAAAACAATAAGTTTAGTTTAGTATCTTTTAAACTAAATTTGATTGATTGGTTGATTATCGCTTGCTTAGAGTCTATAGGCAAGTATTTCTTGCATATTCAGTACGAGAACGAATTAAAAATATATCCAATAGGTAAGTTTTACAAAGTGGACCGACAGGGAATGAGGACCAGAAATTTCGACGAACCTTTAAAGAGTAGTTGCGATGGTTCTTTAGCATGCAAAGAGCGTGCCACCAATCTGTGGAGGGTATGTCAAATACGTCCCCATTCAGACGGTACCGAACTCAGCACATTTATTTACAACTCATTCAAAGCCCTTCTTTAGCAGGTACATGTATAGGATTATTACTGCCAAACGAGAGAAGTGACTAGATTCGTATTGGCTTAAAAATGAAATGTTAAACTCCATGCAAACATTATAATTAAATGTTCCATTCAAGAGAATTCTGAGATACAGAAATCTATCTGTAAGCGCTCTGCGGTCTAAAATACCTTTGAAAGTTAATTTAGTAATTAACGATAAGTGTTATTTGTTACAATCATGCTAAGTCGCACTAGAATATTGTTAGCTACCCTTTAATTTTTGTCAGCCTCAACATGCCTAGTTCTTTCTTTTATACATCAATTATTAAAGGAAATGATAATTTCCCAAGCGTTCGATTACAACTAAATCAGGATTACAAATCTTTATGCAGAATCCGACAGCAGACGTTCCGCAACAAACAACACTTAAATCTGCAAGGTCCAATTTCATATTAATTCCGCACTTTATTCTTCTCTTTCTTTCAGTTGATATATATCAATTTTGATATTTCAGGCTGTTATCAGAAATGTTCGACGAAAATGCAAATGCCACGGGATGTCCGGAAGTTGTGAAATGCAGACATGTTGGAAATCAACACCGGATTTCCGGGATGTAGGAGATAGATTAATAAAGAAGTATGAATCCGCGAGAAAGGTAAAGGTAAAAACATTTTAATGAATATAATCATGTTATTTTACACCACTGTTCAAAACACGTGAAAATTCATAGCATTGAAATATTCTAACTAGACGTTATGAAGAAATATGTTTTGAAACTTTACTTCATTAAACATTCGAGTTAATCAAGAATTTTTAAGTGATGTCATAGAACTATATATTTCTATAAAGTTATTATTAAGTAAACTATAAGATGGAACTTGTAATAAAGCGAGCTTACCACATCATCGGGCAAAAACACCATAAAAAAGGGTAGAGAACACCATGACAAGATGTAAGATTATTTCTTTTATAACAGAAAGAAAGCATACCCTGCAAAAAATGGCAAGCGCGTCTGCCCAAGAAGGGTAAACGTATAGTTATTGCTTTAGTAGAGGCACCAGTCGTTTGCCCATGTCGCATAAAACTCTAGTGACTATTCAAAAACGTTAGAAACTAGGATTGTGGCGACTACAAGTTAAACATATTTCCTGTTATCTGTGACATCAACATATTACATTTGTATTAATCAACGAAATAATAATGATGTAATTAAAACTTTCGAAGTGACAATTTAAATTATGATTCATTAAAAACCGGTCAGGCGGTACCTTGTTAGCAGCAACTCTCGTGTAACGTGATAAAAGGAAAGTTCAAAAAGAAAAGTAAAAACTTGTTCTTTCGTTTTAAATGTTAGTACTCAACCGATTCTCCTTGTTGGGTTTCTAAGTGTTAATATAGGTATAACACAAGCCTATGTCTACACTTTTCTTAGTTCCGAGTTCCATGGGATAGATGCGATTAAAATAGTCACCAAAATTTGAACTGTTCAGTGAAAGAACATCCACCCTGTTAAAAATTATTGCTATATCATTTCATGTATAACGAAAAATTATGAAGTAATTTATTACCAGAGTATTTCAATCAACAATTAGAAAGAATCATTGAAAACGACGTAAATAATGGTTATGAATGAATGAATTCAAAAAAAAGATATTAACACTTGTACCGAGACCTGACGTCATCTTTCGCTTTTGATGCTTGCTGTTTGGCCCATTTTGCTTTTTTCTCACAGCCTGAAAACAAACCAGTAGGTCTTTTAGTACACAACTGTATAGTATTTATTGTCGAACTGTTGCTTTGATTTATAATGTGTATTCATTTTTTTTTCAGGTAAACATTTTGAATAAAGCAAAAACGAAATTCAGAAGAATTCGACGCAGAACGAAGAAATCCGATCTCATGTTTTATGAAAGATCTCCAAATTACTGTGATCCAAATCCATTGGTAGATTCACCGGGGACATCCGGGCGATTCTGTAATAAAACAAGTTCCGGTGTTGATAATTGTGAGACTCTCTGTTGTGGACGGGGGTATAATACATTAAGAGTGAAACGTTCCGAAAGATGTGATTGCAAATTTCATTGGTGTTGTTATGTTGTATGTCAAACATGTACTTATAATGAATGGGTAACAGTGTGTAAATAAATCACATCATAAACTAAACATGTGTATACCAGTGTCCTTGCTAGTGGTCAGTTCTTTTTCTGTGACTCCAAAAGAATATTTTAGAATTCAGGTGGTGACATTCTGACTCATCTGTTGGAGCTTGAGTAATTCATATGAAAGTATTTTTAAATAAACTAGTTCACTCTGACTAGCAATAACTTGTGACTAAAATATAGGTATATAAATACTTATTTAGGTTATAATGACCAGTTGCATCCTAGGTTAATGCTGTAAAAGTATCGACGTCCAATCAGATTTACGGCTATTACGAAAGTGAGCGATGTAGTTATTATTATGAGATTCAACATTTAATGACAGTGTGTTTGTTAATGTTGAGAAGGACAATTTTATTTGAAGAAGAATACTGTTTTTTTCTGTATGTTGCTTTGGAAAAATACTTGTTTATACACAATGATAGAAGATTTTCAATAAAATATATAAAAATCTGTAATAGAACTCGTAGTCAGCCAAAAATGATTAAGTTAACTTAATCAGACGTTGTGAATCTCTGCACGCACCTGTCGTGTGTTAATTATATTTTAAAACAGTCGTTACATTCCAAGATTGAATGCAAGATAGACAATTTTGTATACACTTTATACATTGAATATTTCATAATTTAAGAATATGTAAAATAAAAATGAATGTAAAAAATGTTGTTTTTGTTTACATGTGTTTTGTTTAATCAAATTTAGCTTTCACTAAAAGTATCTGTTGAAATGTATCGCCTGCTTTTATGACTTTGACGAAACAGATGTTAAGGTCGTACAACAGTTGTCATGAAAAAAATCACACTGATCAATGAACCACACACATGACGATGAATAGACGTTTAACGTCAGGTGGCAAACATTACACGATGACGTTTAACGTCAAGCGGCAAACATTACACGATGACGTTTAACGTCAAGCGGCAAACATTACACGATGACGTTTAACGTCAATTGGAAAACATTACACGATGACGTTTAACCTCAAGTGGCAAACATTACACGATTATCAGGACGACGAGTAAATTTTAATGTAATATGTATATGAACCTTACTTTGTACTATGCCGACATAATGAGCTAGATTATGTCGTGCTAGTTGATCGGGATTTTAATGTGCGCGTTCTCAAGATACATGTAATAGTCGCAGGAGGGCATGACACCCTACACAGCCACAAAATTCTGACTTAGAGCCGTTCATATAGATGATATATTTAATTTATTACTTATACACGGCCGACACTCGGCTAACCGAGAGATTGGTCGGTTAATCTATATTGAGTATGCGGCTATATGGGCGGTTGGTCTGTTAATCGGGTCGGTTATACGTCTGTTAAGAGTAAAACGCACAATTTAAATGTTCAAATCTGTTAAATATACAGATTTTTGGCATATTATAAGAACCAAATAAAAAAAAGAAAAGTGTCTGACAAAATGATATCTATCATAGAACATTTCATAGTCTGCGCAAACTTCAGTAAAACTTAAAGGCGTCGCGCAAGTATGTGGTATTTATGCTTATATGCATAGCAATTGTTTTGATAAAAGGCGAAACAAACAATTTTAGATATCATTTAAAGGACACAAAATAGTACTTTGGTTCTAAAAAATAAATTGACATTAGTAAATATTTCATAATTGTAATATAACGTGAGTAATACCACGTTTTAGTGACTATTAGGGGAATAAAGTCTGTTAATGGGTTGGACAATTAAAATTGTGTCAGTTAAGAGTTATTTAGCCACGACAATAGTTTTGCTACCTTTATAATTTCCCATTAAAAAGTTAAGAATGAGATGTACTTGAGTAAAAAAAAAATTACAATACGGTGCAACAGTATCCTTGTAGTAAGAGCATTTTTATTTTGACTTTCTTTGCATTTTATTGAAAGGTGTGTCACTGCAATATAGCGTGATATGGATTGGCCGCTGGAATATGCATGAATTTATTATTAACGTTTTCAATCAGCCTTGATTTTTGTGTCTGTTCAAAGAAGCACGTTCAAAAATCCGACTGAAAGTGTCTGTCTTATACAACACCGGGTACATATAACGTGCTGTCGTTCTCATATTGACATGATATTTGCCACTGGACGTTAAACCCTTATTCGTCAGCATCATTCAATTGGTTCTTTTGTTCTATTACTTAATCATATGTTGTTTACAAAACATTCTAAAGAAGTAAATGGAAAGAAGCGAATGCAGCTACATTTGATTATCTTAAGTTTTAATTCATTTTATTCCGTTTAGTTCCTTTCTACATAAGTGCAGAGGAGAACTGCAGTTGTGCGCTTGTAAAATTCTAGCATTTGTCACCAATTTGAGTACATCGCAATCCGTTACTGTTTCAACCACCCCCTCCCCCTGAAAGTTTGTTTTGTTTGCACTTTACAATATTTACTGAGCTATCAGATTTAGCGGTTGTTAGGAGGCCAATGTTTATCGGACTCCAGTCTCAAATAACATAAAGTGATATACAGTAAAAAAAAATTGCAAAGCATATATATAGATATTGTTGTCTATACTATTAATTTATAAATAAGGAGATGTGGAATAAATGCCAAAATTGCAATGCATCACTCTCTACTGTCCTTATCTATTATTCTATATTCTGCGTCTCCATCCAGATTCTCGTGTATACCATGAAGGTCCGGATTGGGGGTGTTGTTTATATCTGTATTCCTTAAATTGTTATGTCACTTTTCTCTTCATTTTATTTATTTTTCTCATTATTCTTTCTCTATTCTTTATATTTTAGCATCCCAATATATTTTACTTACTGATGTTTAGTTACATTACGACGTTTATCTCTGATATAAAAAAGAAGATGTGGTATGATTGCCAATGAGACAACTCTCCACAAGAGACCAAAATGACACAGAAATTAACAACTATAGGTCACCGTACGGCCTTCAACAATGAGCAAAGCCCATACCGCATAGTCAGCTATAAAAGCCCCCGAAATGACAATGTAAAACAATTCAAACGAGAAAAATAACGGACTTATTTATATATAAAAAAAAAAAAAAAAAAAACAAATATGTAACACATAAACAAACGACAACCACTGATTTACAGGCTCCTGACTTGGGACAGGCACATACATACATAATGTGGCGGGGTTAAACATGTTAGCGGGATCCCAACCCTGCCCTAACCTGGGACAGTGGTATAACAGTACAACATAAGAACGAACTATAGAAATGATGTATATACTGGTTACCAATGTAGATGACAAATTGGTGTCATTCATAACAACGAAACAGAATTCACATGATATATGCGACCATTTTTGAATGAAATTAATATTACACTTTTTGAAACCATTTTTATTAATTTCCAATTTCCATTGTCTAAATTTATGTTTCATTGTTCATGTGTTGTTTCCGTATATTTTAGCCACTCGTCTTGAGCCTACCCATTTGATCCGATAACTCCCCATAAAGCAATCAAATTATATTTTCATTGCCATTCATAACTCTTAACAGACCAAATAACAGACCGGGTTTTATACATCCGACCCATTAACAGACCAGGTTTTTAATAAAAATTGATTAATATCATTTTTCACACAATGATATTAATATGGTTAACAAACATAATGCCTGTCTTTTTTCGATGTACAAAATATTGCATGCAAGTCAATTCAGCCAAGTTGTCATTTTGTGTACATTTTGTGTGTGTAAAATGTGTATAAATTTATTGATGAGTAACACGCCTTTTCATTTTATTGATTGTTTATCGAAGCTAGAAAAAAATAATTACACCACTGGATTCAGTACATTGAATTGTTTTGTCAGACATGAATAAATTTTATGATAAAAATATATTTAAAAAGTTATACAATGAAACATACTGAACTTGCAAGTATTTTCTCGATAACACCTGATTAACAGACTTTAGCCAACCCAATTAACAGACCAACCGCCGATATAGCCGCATACTCAATATAGATTAACCGACCAATCTCTCGGTTAGCCGAGTGACGGCCGTGTTATAGTCAATGATAGAAGTTGAGAGAGTATCACCTAATTATTAAACATAAACGTTGATTTATTATCCATGAAAATTAGGTCAAGATCACGACTCATATGAACCGTTTAGTAAATCAATACACCTTACAAACATTCAACAGATCAAATAAAGTTCGTTTTGTAATTGAAATGATCTAATAATAGAAAATAAACACGAAAGGTATTGTTGTGTAATATGGTATAATGGACGTGACATTACTATGTAGACAGTACGGTAGTTAGATATACCGCGTAGCCCGGTTCCCGGAATGATCCATGGTAAACTACCCAGCTCAGGATAAGATCTCAGATAGTTACCAGGTAACGAGAGTTGGCGTATTGGCGGGAATAAGGACGCAGCGAGAAATATATTACCAGAGCGTATCATAGGATATTTGGTAAGTTAGTACAATTAGAGGCGTTGAATTTTATTAGTAGTATTAGTATTGAGTGATAATACTCGGAAATCACATCACTGGCGCTTGGCGAGCAGGGTTTCCTGTGAAAAAGACGAATTTATCGAGACACAGAAGTGAGTACGTCACGTGTAATTGCGAAGTTCATATTGCTATATTTGGTATATTATGAAGTGTTTGAACACGGAGATAATATAAGCATAAAAACTTGCGTTAATTACAGAATTTATTTTCGAAAATTGTTTCACGTTTTGCTAAAACTAGCCGTTTTGTGTATAAATTAGACAAATTAGCCGTTATCAGAGCAATTTGGAGAAAATTAGACACTTTCGGAAAAATTAGCGGTTTTTTGTGTGGTTAGCCACATAGCACATACACATTATTTTTTTTTCTGGTTCAGCAACCAGTGATTAATTTGAATTGTGTTTGTGTTATAATAACATAATGGCAGACTTAGCTTTTCAGAAGGAGCGTACAAAGATTAATAGCTGTACTTATGAAGAATTATTATTGTTACCTGGTGTTGGAAATGTCACAGCTGACAAGATTATCTCTTTGAGAGAGACATATGGTAATATTCAGTTTGAGCATCTTTCTGAAATACCAAGACTACGACTTACTGAAACTTTGATGGATTTGATAGATTTTTCACCAGTTACACAGCAACAAGAATACAAATCACGGACTCAGTCAAGTTATGATTTACAAGACTATGTTGATTATGGTGAAGTTAAAACATCTGGATTTCATTCGGAATATGCAAGACGAGAAGCAGAAATCAATGACTTTTCAGATTCTGACACACCTTCTGATGAATGTTTGCTTAAACCTGAGCCTGAGGAAGTCAAACGTGAGTTATCACGTCCCAGTTCAGCGATGGGCAAGCCATTAAATTACACTTTGCAGTATGGGGACCACCAGTATTCAACAAAATTGTCAAGACCTGATGAAAGAAAACCATTACTACAAACTAAGTATGATGACCAGGATAAAGTTCAAGATTTTTCAATTGATCGACAGTTTAAGCCAGACAAAATTCATAGAACAGATGAATTAGGGTACACGAAACCAAGTATCAGATTAAATGTTGAGGAAAACATTGAAAAACGTGATTATTCACGTAACCAAAATACACAGCAGCAGACATCACAATTGGGATGGCAGCAAGGTCCCAATGAGCACATTGAAAAACGTGATTATTCACGTAATCAAAATACACAACAGCAGACAAAACAATTGGGATGGCAGCAAGGGCCCAACGAGCACGAACCTA